GATCAAGGACAAGCTGGCGTCTCTTGTTGACTCAAAGGCTACCAATGTGAGTTGACAAGCGCTTCTTGATGCGCCAGACTATGACTGACAAGCGTCACAGATCGTCGGGTTTGACCTCTGGCACAACAAGCCCTACCAGTGGTGGTTCGATGCCGACCACAACAGCGAGTGCAAGGACAATGACGAAGCCGTCTTTTACGAGCTGGACCCCAGCGCGACCGTCGTCGCGTCGAGGAAGCACAAGGCTGCTGGGGTCATCAGCGAGGGCGGCTCGACCACCGGCTCTATCACCGTCCCGGTCTACACCTACCGCTCGATCGAGAGCAGCCGTGGCGGGTACCGCCGGCCTGACGCACCGTCTGAGTGCGCGCTCAAGCCGTTCTTCATCACTCTTTCCAAAGCCGAGGCTACCGACCCGGCGGAAGTGCGCGAGGCGATTATGCGCGGCTACTCGCGGTTCATCAAGCCAGAGCACAAGGAGGATATCTACGTCCCGGCGTCCAGCTCGCAGGCGCAGGCGGCGGTGCCCACCCCGCCAAAGAGCGAGGACGGGGACGCGGTGACGGAGATTCACTTGAATGGGGACCAGGCGACGGTGGTGGAGGTGCCGATCTCGTCGCAGAGCTCGCACAGCTCGCCAGTGGCTGCTATGCGGGTCATCGGGCCTGACGGGGAGGCACTTGAGGTCGACCCGGCGGCGGCGGACGCAGCTCTCGCCGCGGGGATCTCTGGCGGGCACCACAACGGCTCTGTCACCTCCCTCGCCAGCCACGCTTCCGCCCCTTCCACCACGGGCTCCCACTCCGGGCGGCTTGTCCCCCGCGCTGACTTGTTCAAAGTCCACGTCGCGGACCCTTCTGGGGACTTTGTCCTCGGCGGGTTCAAGTCCAAGGTCGTGCCTTTCTATAGCAAGGACCCGTCGTCGGCGAGTAACCACTGGTCATTGCTCGAGGCAAGGAAGAAGAAGGGGAAGAAGCATATCGTGAACCGGATTGTCAACTCTATAGTCAGCCCGTCTTACGCTTCGGATGATGAGGCAAAGGCGGAGGGCGAAGAGGCTGCTGGCGAAGCGCCCACTAGGAAGAAGAGGCCGCAGCTCGTGGTCCGCCCCGGAGAGGGGATTTTCTGCGAGTGGCCGTCCAAGACGTTCAGCGAGTGGATCGACGTCGACGCCATGGGGGAGACGGTGGTGGACCCAGCGATCGCCAAGGAGATTGCGAAGAAGAAGGAGGGCAAGCATATTGGGATTGAGGATTGCTTGGATGAGTTTAGTAAGGAGGAGACGCTTGGCGAGGATGATTTGTGGTACTGCCCGGTCGTGAGTCTCTTTCCAGCTTTCGTATCCTAGAAGGTGTGAGAAGCTGATGTGTGACGACAAACAGTGCAAGAAGCACCAAGCAGCCACAAAGAAGCTCGAGATCTACAAGGCCCCCGACATACTCGTGATCTGCATCAAGCGCTTCGGCTCGTCCCGCCGCATGGGCGACAAGCTCGACAACATGGTGCACTTCCCCATAGATGGCCTCGACCTCGAGGACAGAATCGGGGAGCGTAAAGTCGCAAATACTCTCAAATTGAACGGGGAAGATGTCCAAGAGTATGGGATTGAGGAGGACGGGGAGCCGCTGGTTTATGACCTCTGTGAGTCTGCTACCGAAGCGATGGCTAGCTCCTTACCGTAGCTGACGTGAGGCGATTGTAGATGCTGTGGACAACCACTTTGGTGGTATGGGCGGCGGGCACTACACCGCGTTCTGCAGGAACAGGGTGGATGGCCAGTGGTACAACTATGACGACTCGAGAGTCTCCAAGGCGGATGCTTCGTCCGTGCAGGTCAGATTTCAACTTGTTTGGTTTATCCCCGTGAGCCGAAGCTGATCCGATCGTGCTGTCGCAGAGCCGAGCCGCGTACTTGCTGTTCTACAGGCGGAGGACGAGCCGACCTATTGGTGGTGTTTCGAGGGTCAAGGCTGAGGTGCGTCTGCATGGGTCGCAAGAACCGAGACCATCACTAACGCATCGCTACATACAGGAGGCATCCCGCAACGTTTCCCGAAACGCCTCGCGTTCCCCCTCGCCTGCCGCCGAGTCATCCACCCTCCCATCAACCATCACATCATCCACCTTCGTCTCTGGCCGCACCTCGCCCGGCAGCCTGCCCGAAATGCCTTCCCCGGCGTCTTCCTCCGACGAGCTCCCATCATACTCGCACCTCGGCACCCCCGCTGCCCCCAGCCCGACCGTCAGCGACGACGACGCGCCCCTCTCCTCCATACGCGGGCTCAGCACCGCCTCCGTCGCGCAGTCTGTCGGGTTCGGCAATACCGCGTGGACTACGTCGTCCAACGTCGCTTCTGGGATCACCCACAGCTTTGGCCAGTCGGACCACGAGGCGTGGACGAGCAGGTGGACACCGGCGGAGAATACGGAGGTGCAAGTGCCGGAGGTACCGGTGACGCTTGCTGCGGCGTCGGCTACCGGCGGGGAGGACGTGAGCATGGAAGGGGAGGCGCCGACCGTCGACACGGCGGATGAGGCAGCTACTTCTGCGCAGGCTCCTACGGTGGTCGAGCCTCAGGTCGAGCTCGCTCCGGTAGCACCCATTGCCTCCGAGACAGTCGCCGACGTGGCCCCTCCTGCGTACGCGCCTGCCGAGGGCGACAAGACTGCTGGTGAGCCGGCGTCGGTGGGTGGGGACTACGAGATGGTGGAGAGTGGGAAGAGCGAGAAGGAAGGGGAGAGTGATGCGGAGATGGTCAGCGTGCCGGGGGGTACGCAGTGAGGAGCAGAGAGTGTATAAATGTAGAGGCGGTAGAGAGGGGGAGGTGAGGCTGGGTGGCAGGCAGGGTGGCAGGCAGGGGTGAGTGGAGCGGTGGCAGGGAAGGGGGTTGGCAAGTATCCTGTTGTATCACGACCATATACCATCTTACGCATCGAGGAACGCAAAAACGAAGTACTGGTTTGAACATCCGAGTACACATGCATGGTTTTCTTCTCGCCTGGTGGGCCACGGGGTGCACTTGACGTGGACTACATGGCTTGCATGTGTGTTTTTCAGTGTTACTTGACGTACTTGAGTTGGTATCGACTGTTAAGAGTCGCCTACGTGCGAATACAGGGCGCAAGAGGAAAGGGCGGACAAAACGCCAGAGAGGAATCTATCATACAACGAAAGGGTGTGACCACCACCAATAAAAACAAGAGCGACCAAAAGATAGAAGAAAGTAAGAAGAGGAGATGAAGAACTCGCCCCTACAGCTCCATCCCCACCAGCACCCACTTCCTCACATCCCACTCCCACCCCCCCTCCAGTGCCCCGGGCTTCACCACCTGCCCCCCCACATACATCAACGAATGCAGCAGCTCGCCCAGCCCCTCCTGCTCCCGCTCATCCCGATCCAACACCAACACGAGGTTACTCGCCTCGAGCGCTTCAGACGCGAGGTCCAGCAGCGCCGTGAGCGATTCCCTGATGTCGAGCGCGTAGCTCGATGCGGGGGATGATGAGGTTGGCGTGGGGTACCGGTTGGGAGGGGAGGTGCTGAGTAGTGGGTCGTGCGGGCGAAGGACCTGGGAGAAGTTTGGGGAGAGGGCCTCAGGGCGTTGGTGTTGGGTGAAGGGAGCAGGAGGGAGGTAGATGAAGACGGTGCGGCCGGAGGGAGAGGGGGAAGGTGGATCCACGATGAAGCCGTGGAGAGTGTGGGAAGGAGGAGTGAGGACCTCAAGGGTGGAAGATAGGAGGGAGATGGTGGGAGCGTGTTGGGGGAAGACGGATGAGATGAGGGTGGTGACAGCATGGTCGGGTTTCCCTTCGCCACCGGCCGGGGTAGGGGCACAGCGCTCAGGGGAAGGAGGTTTGTGGTGCCCAGCAGAATTGGACAAGGAGAGGGGAGTAAGGGGGAGGGAGGTGGCCGCATGGGAGGATGAAGAGTGGGCGGCGCGGGGTATAGCGACGGATTGGGTGAAGGAGGATGGCGGTGTGAGGAGGTTGGCCGTGGAGGTCGAGGGGATGTGAGATTGGGGGCGATAGGATTGAGAAGATTGGGCGGAGTGGGTAGGAGAGAAGTGTTGGTGCAGGTAGGACGTCAGAGGGTCTCTCGGGTTCTCTGACGACTGGTCGACGACGTTATCGCCCTATCGCGCCACAGCAGCATCAGCGTCTGGTTTCTTAATGCCGGTCAACAAGAGCTTAGCCAGATACTCACGACAAGTGTTCTCCTCCTGCCTTCCTCAAACCCACCGCCGGCCCCCGCCCGCGAACGAAGCGTAGCCGGAAGTGGAGGTGCCGTCCTCAGAGTACACATAGATCTGGCCGCCCTTGCCACCCGCTCGAGCGATAGCGAGGGGCGGGACGTAGGCGTTGTCCGTGTCGTGGTGGTAGATTGGAGAGAACAACAGGGAGGAGGATATACTTGCCCCAGTGCCAGCGTTTCCCGGTGCGCCGCTGCAAAGTACGGCGTTAGCGTTGCACCATGTGGAGCGAGCACAGCCATGGGACGTACGCGGGGCGAAGATTCCGATTGATCTGCATGCTAGCGGTGGGACTCATGGCTGATTGTGGGGGCTTTGGTAGAAGGCTTCCTGCCGGTAGGGGGTGTCGGTTGACGAGTAGTGGTGGGGTGGGTGCGGTGGGCGGTAATAGCGTGCTGAGCTGCGAAGACGTCGAGAACAGAAGATGGATCGAGAAACAGAGCGCCCGGCAGAGCACACACAGCGGCCAAGCGGCGAGGAATTGGTTGCGCAATCAAATGACGTGGCATTAACTCATGGTGCTTGGCCAGCTTGGGTGGCCCAGCCAAGCAAGCCAGATGGAGAACTCAGGATGGGCGATGGCCATGCATACTAGAATGGCTGCCGAAACAAATGTATGTGAGAGTGTGAGTCGGATACTTGGATGAATTTCATGGGTGTGTGCTTTGTGCTTGGGAAGAGGATTGAAGGTTTGTTTGCTTTCGCTGTAAATATAGACCCATCAAAGAGCCCCTCGGCACCGTCCAAGAGTCTCCATGGTCCAGTGGTTAAGACGTTACATTGTGGTTGTTAGAAATCTAATTTCACGCACTGTGGAAACGCGTGTTCGATTCACGCTGGGGACATTTACTTTTTGCCTTTTTGTCCGTTGCGCCCGGCACCGCGTTTGTCCGCGCCTCACTCCGTCATCGGGTCGGGAACGATCCTTTCTTGCCACCACGACGTGCAATTCCTCTTCTTCTCTTCTCTCTTTTTGCTCTGTTCGACACCTACAGCCTACACACCGCTAAATCATGTCGTCGCCACCAAGATACTCGGACAACCCCTCTCAGCCCAACTCTGCTACCGCCAAGGGCTACGGCACCACTCCCGCCGACGTCCCGGCCACCGAGCCCCTTCTCGCCGCCCAGGCGTCCTCGAGCCGTAACGCTTGGGTTGACGAAGCAGCATCCGATGATGTCCCCGATGACTTCAAAGTGGGCGTCAACGTGATCGACTGCGACGTGGAGATCAGGATGGCGTTCATCCGCAAGGTGTACTCCATCCTGTTCGTCCAGCTGCTCGCGACGGCACTCGTCTCCCTGGCGATGTCGCTGCCCAAGGCGGTCGACTTTACACACTCGAACCCGTGGATCATGTGGATTCCCATGATCGGCAGCTTTGTCAGCTTGTTCTTTGTGTACTGGAAGAGGCACCACCACCCGGCGAACTTGATCCTGCTGGGTCTGTTCACCATGTTCGAGGCGACGATGATTGGGCTGGCGACGAGCTACTACGAGAGCCGAATTGTGAGCATGGCGTCGTTGCTATTGTGGATATCCAACATGCTAACAGATCATGTATAGGTACTGCAAGCACTTTTCATCACGCTCGGCGTGTTCACTGGTCTTACTCTCTTCACTTTCCAGACCAAGGTACGTCTCACTCCATTCTTGTCCACGTCGTGCCACCACCGAGCTGACCTCTCCGCAGTACGACTTTTCGTCGTTCGCCCCCTTCCTCTTCGTCGGCATCTGGGGCCTCATCACGGCCTACTTTGTCCAGATGTTCCTCCCCTTCAACGCCAACCTCGACCTCGGGATCGCGTGCTTCTCCACCGTCCTCTTCTCTGGCTACGTGCTTTACGACACGCAGCAGATCATGAAAAGGCTGTCGGTGGATGAGGCGATCCTGGGGGCGTTGACGCTGTACTTGGACTTCCTCAACTTGTTCATGAGCGTGTTGCGAGTGGTGAGTCGTCAATTGGCGGTTGGGGGGGAGGACAAATTACTGACAAGGCAGCGCAGCTCAACAACTCGAACAACCGTTAATCTACACACGCCACTCCATCACTCAAAATGAGACTGCGGCGCTGTGACATACATATCGTCCACCTCTGGCCTCTACGCTTTCGGATCCATATCTTTTACGTGAATATACTGCTCGTCTAACGCCACCATGTATCGTGTTGTTCAATGCCATCTTGACCCGTCTGCTCGAAGACTCAGAGGACCGATACGGAGGACACTAATCAGACATGTCATGCAAATTCGTCACCTGAGATGGTAGCGAATGTCTATAAACCCAGAAACTGTGTATCAAGAAAACAATGTAAAAACCAGAACCCGGAATAATTGTACCATCACAAAACAACAACGCCATCCCCCGAACACCCCGTCTCCGCGGCTCCGCGCCTACTGCCCCATCGCCCCATTCATCAACGCCAACGCGTGAACGATGAGCTTCGAGTCGATCTTCGTGGCCTGCTCCAACGCCGCAAGAACCGAGCTGAACCCTCCAAGATTTTTGAAATACTGAAAAAGACAGTCATGAGCTTCTGTCCATCCCACGCACGATACACCCGGGCAGCAGCGACTCACCAAAGTCGACATCGTGTTCTCTAACCTCCCCACAAGACTCTCCATGATGATCCCCAGCTCCTCGTCGCTCATATCCTCCCTGATCGTCGGCCCCAAGTATGACGGCGGCGTAGCCAAGACCACCGCCCCAGTCTGAGACGACTCGCCCGGGCTCGCGGGCGCGATGGTGCAAAGAGCTTCGAGGCGGAGAACGATGCTCGCGAGCTGGTGCACCTGGTCGATGTCGATCATGCGCTGGTGGGCGTGCGACTTGCGCACGTCGTTGACTTCCACCTCGGCACGGAGCTCGTTGGAGATCTCGAGACGGCCGAGGAGGGTCTTGGGGTAAAGAAGATGGAGCTTCTCGGGCACTGTGCGGTGGTCTGCGTGAGCGTGGCACAAACGAGGGGCGAACAGCAGACTGACCTTCAAGACCCTTGAGCTTCCTCTCGCCCATGTCCTTGACCTTGACACCGATCCTCCTCAACTCCATGATCTCCCGCTTGACATCGCCCTGCAGGTCGTTTAACACCTCCTCGTCGTTGGTCTCCAGGTACTCCATCGCCCACGCGAGCTCATTGAGCACGTCCTGACTAGCCATCAACTGCCCGCCATCGGCACTCGCGTTGATTCTCGCCGCGCGGTTCACCATCGGCCCGTAGTAGTCCATCCTCCGGGTGATCGGGTCCTTCTCACACTCTGGAGCACCCCAGTGCACACCCATGCGCACGCGCAACCCACGCTGCACGATCGTCCCGTTCGAGTCATACACCACCTTGCCGTCGTGCGCCGCGAGCAGCTCGCGCGGCCATTCCTGCTGGAGTAGCAGGATCTGGCAGTTGAAGCACCACAGCACGGCGGCGGTGACAGACTGGAAGGAGACCATAAACGAGTCACCTTCAGTCTTGACCTCGTACCCGCCGTCGAGGCGCAGCTGGCGCCGCATGAGCGAGTGGTGCATTTTGATGGCGGTGGGCATGCCCGGGTTGGTCTCCCACAGGTGGGTCGAGTTGACAATGTCGGTGAAGACGATAGCCACCTGACCGGTGGGGGGCTCGATCTCCTGCTGCAAGCGGTTGAGCGTCCTGTCCCCGACCTCCTCGTACCTCCTCCTTGCCGGGCGCTTCGCGGCCACCAGAGACGCTTGCGTAGCCATATCCGTCGGGACGTCGGCGGTTGCCGCGGGGCCAGACCCCGTATGCCCTCGCAGACCATGCCCGTTCCGCCCCGCAAACAAGTCCGAGACGTTGACCACCATCACCATGACGCTCCCCTCCGCGCCGTACGAGATTGCGAAATCCCTCAGCTTCTGCGCCGCCATCATGGGATCCCCCCTCTCCGTCCGCGCGATATCCACGGCCGTCTGATACGAGCAGCACTTCCACAACGCGTGGTTCCCGATGATGACGAACTCGTCCGACTCGGCAAGCACGCGGGTGCGGATCTCGGGCGCGGCGTTGACTGCGACGCACTCATGCCAGTACCCAAACGCGCGCGAGATGTCGAGGTCCTTGTCATCGTTGACGAACCCCTTGGTGCTCACCCACGCCTCGGCCTTTCGGATGCGCGCGACCTCATCGCGGTCCGTAGGGTCGTGGCGCTTCGAGAGGAGCTCGGCATCACCCTTGCGCGACAGCACGACAAGAGTGTCTCCGACGCTTCCGACGTGAAGCACCTTGTCGACGAGGTATACCACCGCACCCGAGGCACCCTTGCGCAAGACCGAGCTCGCACTCGGAGTCCAGCCGCGGAACATGTTCTCAAAGCTCGCAAAGCTCGTCCAGGACGACTTGCGCTCCTTGTCCTGCTTTATTGTCCCCATAAAGTACTCGAACGTCTTGCGGTCGCTCCACAAGAAGGTCCGCCTGAGCGATTCGCTGGGCTCCTCTCCGTCCTCTGCCTTGGCGAGCTGTGCGTTCAGCGTGTCGGCAAAGATCTCCTGTACGCGCTTTGCGATCTTGCCCCCTCCGGACGTCGCCGTCGCTCGCCCAAACATCCCGAAGAGACACTCGTTGTCGTTCCCGCGGAAGTTGGGGACGACGAGGTCAAACATGGCGAGGCTGTCAATCGTGCCGAGCATATCGGCAATGCCGTACGCCATGTTGTTGATATCGGAGAAAGACGTGCGCACGCGCTTCTCGTCCGACTCGTCGGGCAGGGAGGGGATACGAAGGGTGACGTCCATGAGACCGAGGACGCTGAGCTGGGTGAGAGCGGTGAAGTCCGAGAGCTCCTTGCGGAAGCTGGAGGCGTGGGTCATCTCCTGGGCAGACGTCGGTTTGATCTCGAGACGTTTGTTGCCCGACAAGTTGAGGTACCGGAGCGCCGTATTCCAGTTCCTAACAATGTTCGTCAGCTTACTACTGGCCTCCACACGATCCATGCCAATCCTCGAGCTCACCAGTTCCAATCATACGGCCAATTCGCAATGTTGTACTTCAACACGTTACTCCCCACATCCAAATGCTGCAGCGTCTTGATCGCGCCCAACTCGCTCGGCAGCGTCTGCAGCTTGTTGCCGTTCAAGTGCAACGTCCTCAAGCTCTGCAGCTTCTCCAAATCCTCACTTGGCAGGCTCGTCAACTTGTTCCCCGACAAGTACAGTGCCTCCAGCTTGGCGCACTTGCACAGCGTGTCTGGTGGGATCTCGTAGATCTCGTTGAAGCTGAGATTCAAGACCCGCAGACCGGGCATGAGCGCGAGGTAGTGGAAGATGTCGTCGTTGAGGTGGTTATCCGCGAGGTATATCTTGCGCATGTTCCACCCCGCCGGCGGACGCACATCCTCCCCAGCTGCCGCCGAGCGCAAAATATCCGCCTCGATCTCGGGAGGCACCGCCTCAAACCCGTCCAAGAGGTTCGAGCTCGCGTTGAAGATCTCCAGCGAGCTGCATGCCCACAAGTCCGCAGGCAGGTGCCGCAGGTTGTTGTTGTGGAGATTGATCACGCGGAGCTTCTGGAGCTTGCCGAACCCGTCTGGGATAGTGTTGAGCAGGTTGTCGGTGCACGAGAAGACCTCGAGGTTCACGAGCCTGTCGAGCGTAGCAGGCAGGCGGGTGAACTGGTTGAAGTTGAGATTCAACGTCACCAAGTTCACGAGCCCACTGAACGCCTCGTCCGCGAGCGTGGAGATCTTGCCGTGCGACAGGTCCAGGCTGGTCAACATGTAGGTGACGACCGCCATGTTTGGCGGGGGCGCGAGGGTGAAGCGCGTGACCGAGTTGTGCGGGACACTGAACTGCCGCACGTTGGACCCGATCTGGGCGTCGAGCGTCACGACGTTGTTGT